TGAGTTATTCTATTGATACTTCTTCCTGGACTTGGTAATCCATGGACTTCTGCATAATTTTCTAGAAAATTCTTTACAATTTCAGCAACACCTTTGTCAATCACCATCTTAGTTTTTCATTGAGGCATCCTTTTAATATTACCATGAATTCTTGGTAAAAGGCCATTGTTTATCAAATGATTTCTAATATTTTCAAAGTAAGTTCTACCAATTCCTAACATATTGAGATAAGTTTCTTGACAAAGTAGTGTATTGTGATCTCAGTGGTAGAAAGTTCTTTTATTAGATCTATTTTTCTTTTTAAGGCGTCTGCTGGTGCTTATTGATCCACCATCCATTGCTTTAATCTGTGCCATTAAAAATATGTCTTGTTCTGGTTTAGAAAGAGCTTGAAAGGATTCCCTTAATTCTGCAAATTCTTCCTTGGGAATTCTTGAAGAACAACCACAATTACATCCTTTTTCTAGAAAATCAATGGCTTTTTGATATTCATTAGAACCATTATACTTATTGTTTTCATTATTACTTTTCATATACTTATATATATAAATTTTGTGTTCACTTTGTAGTTTTTTATAATTGTTTTAAAATTGAAAGGAAGTATATGAATGGAATTAAACTTAGGCAAATCAATGAAATGGTTTTAGATAATGGTTTAAAACAGGGCTGGAAATAGGGTCTGAAAAAAAACAGAAGTTTCTCCTGAATGCTATAAATTTTCCGGAAGAAAATTTTTTGGGTGCTAAAATTTCTTTATTTTACATGTATTCTTCTGTTTTTACCTTGAAAAAATTTACTAAGAGCATCACTAAAATCATAACCAAATAAATCAGTACCTTCTAAACCAACCATCATTAATATGTGCAATGTATCATTTTCCATTGCATTACAATTTGATAATATTCTGTTTGCTAAAACCTCTCAAGATCTTATATACATCGGAATTAATGAGAGTGAATATAACAAACAAATAAATCTTGGTTTTACAAGTATAATCTATGCTTATTATTAATATTATTTATTAATATATTGT